GCCAGCACAGTAGCACGCAAGCAATCCAGCAGGAAAAAAAGCATCGTGTGCCGCTGGCTTTATTTCCAATTGAGACATTCCAAATAGTACAAGCTTATGTACAAGCTTGTGCGTTGCTACACGTTAAGGTGCAGACACATGGAGCCGTCAAGCGTCAAGCAGCAGAGCAGCAACCAATCAGCGAGGCGATATAAGCAGTGTAGTAAACTGTGAAAAAAAAAAATTTTTACGCCATTGTTGACGCGTTGCCCTGTTGGATTTTCGATGCTACCAGCAAACACCAAGCAGCAGTGTATAACGATTAGGTTAAGTTTTACAAGTTTTAATACTGCATTTTACAACAAAATGGAAGAGTCACATGTAAGTAAAGACGATTTATATAATTTTATATTATTCTTTCAGATTAAAAAAAATTATTAAGAAATATATGTGAAACATCTTCATTTCAGTTATGTGGAAAATGCGGGAAGATTGTGGAAGGCGATGAATGTTTCACAGAAGATCACTATGTAAACTTCGAAGAGCTTCTCATTAGCGAAGTGTCAAGGAGACGCGAATTGTGGGATCCTTCACTAGAATTAAAATTAAGGGGACCTCGAATAGTTGCAAAGTCGTGGGCTGATATTGATACAGCCTTTAGTATGTTTTTATGTAAAGCTTTTGTCTCGCTATATATTTCATGTAGTCATGATAATTTTCCTTTGTAGACATTGAACCAGGCACTGCAAAGAAACGTTGGAAGATGTTACGTGACTGCTATGCACGTAAACTGGCAGAGGAAAAGAAATATGTTCCATCAAGGAGTGGTGCTTCTCAGTCAACCATAAAATGGAAATATTATGCTTCCCTAGATTTATATGTTATAACGAAAACATTAATTGCTTTAAAGAAAAAACATTATTCACATATGAGTAAATTATTCATTTACACATATTACTTATAAAATTTTTAATAATTATTATTAGTTATATTTACTGTTACATATACTTATTATTATTTTTTATTTATTACTACTTTTACTATTACATATCACAGTCAATATAACTATCAACGATTCCATTGCCAAGGAACAGCACCCTCATTTAAAAAATAATTTTTAAATTCTTCACGAATATTTGCAGCATACTGCGAATGTGCTTGACCACCTGCACGACCTATCTTTTGGAATGCTGAGTTTATTTTCATTTGTTCCAATAGTTCTTCAATAGTGTTTCTACTTTCAAGCATGGAATTGTCGACAAACAATTCTGGACAGTAATTAGAATGTGATAATAAAAAATTATGCAGTACTATAATTGCTTTTACAATTTTTTCTGACGTTTCAACAGATGTAGTTAAAGGTTTTTGCAAAATTCGAAATTTTGCAACCATGATGCCGAATGCATTTTCCACTACTCGTCTAGCTCGACTCAAACGATAATTGAATATTTTCTGCTCTTCAGTTATATTTCTTCCTGGATATGGTCTTAAAGTAAACTTATTTAGCTGAAATGCTTCATCAGCCACAAGCATATATGGGAAAGGTGGTCTACCAGTAGAACAAACTGATGGCATTGGCACATCCAATTCATCCTGATGAAACATTTGGCCTATTGTGGAATTCAGAAAAATTCCGCCATTACTATGATGACCTTGCGCACCAATGTCAACAAGCATGAATCTATAGGAGGCTGAGACGACAGCCATGAGCACAATACTATAAAATCCCTTATAATTGTAGTATGTAGAGCCAGCTGCATTTGGACACTGAAAAAAACTTAATTATTTAAGATATATAAGATAGCATGTATACTCTAGATATCTCAGTCTATAATTTACCTTCATTGCGATGTGTTTACCATCGATTGCACCAATACAGTGTGGAAAGTTCCACAATTGTTTAAACTGAGTAGCAATTTCTTTCCAATTGTCGCTAGAAGATAGAAATAATTCATCCTGCAAAGTATCCCATATTGCGTCACAGGTTTCCTGTACAATATTTGTAACGGTACTTCGTCCTACTCTATACGCATAAGCTAAGGAATTCATTGAGTCTCCTGATGTTAAGAATCTATTAATGAAGAATTGAACAAGATAATATAATTTATTAACATAAAATTATTCTAATGTAGCATTGACTTACCGAAGAGTTATATACAATCGATCCCTTGCAGAAATTGGTTTTCTGCAAACATACATTTTTTCAATTCGTGGTTGCACTCGTTGTAGTAAGGCGTCAAACTTTTCTACACTCATACGGCAATAATTAATATGTTCCTCTTGATTAAGACGTATTTCATTTATAAGATTGTGACCATCATCTTTATAAATTCGTCTACGGATTATAGGCCTTACCCA